TAAAGATATATGACATATCCTGAAGAGTGGACACAAAAGAATAAAGTGATGAAACAAACAAAAGAAACACTTTATGAATTACATTTTCAGAGTACCTGAGAATAAAGAGATGAACACATATCCAGCAGATAACCAATTAACTGTTTTATAAACCAGTATGTACAGTTTATAAGCTTGTTTCTCCCACTCTCTCTTCAATATACTTTCTGTATAGCTTCATTAAAATGAGATTGCAGTTGCTAAAACCATACAGGTGTCAAATTCTTTCTTCACAAGTAACTTGTGCTGCAGCCTCAGATTCCTGTAGCTACTCAGTTAAGACTATCTGTGTGTACACAGAAACACAGAGACATCGATGCTACTGAGATTTAATAGTTTATGTAATCTCAGCGTGTTTACATTTCTGTCTCACAAAACTACTTCTAGGGGATTTTTTTTTCCCCATCAGTTACATCTGATTCCCACTTTGCATATTGACATGGTCTCTCTCCTTTTTCTGTTCTTTTACACACAAGCCAGTATTGCTTATCTGTAGAAAACCAAGCAGCAGTAAGACACGTTAAGATCTAAGTTTTATAAAGCAATTTATAAACCTTTCCTGTTCTTGACAAGAATTGGGTTGTTGACAAAAATTTGAGCAAGGGTTTTAATGAAACAGCATGCACTTCCCAGACATCATTTTGAATGGGAAGTTTAAAAAAAAAAAAAAAAGACACTAAGATATGAAAACTGAATGATCTGGAATTCATATACCTGTTTTAAAATAGAAAGCGGGGTGGGGGAGAAATAAAAACAAGATTGCAGACGAATTTTTGAGTGTAAAAAACTCACTTAGAAGACCCCTTACAGCAGTGGAAGGATGTTCATTATGATTACAGATGTAACAAAGTTTTTAAATACAGAAAAGCATGAAATAAAATCTTGTGATGGATGTGAATATTGCATCCTACAAGTCAGGGTCTCTAATGACATTGTAACATGAAATAGCAAGTTGCAGTTTTCTGTAACTTACTTTATGAAGAGATGAAAATCAAGACAAAAGGATATAATATGAACACAGGAAGATTTAATTTGGCTTGGAACATCCATGTGCCATTTTCTTTTAAATCAACCAGTTTCTATTTCTTTTAAATCAGTACAAGCTCACATCCTATTATGTTTTTGACAAAAGAGAGGCATCAAGATATTTATACAATAGAGAGCTTTGATCTGTTAAAAAGCCACCGTAAAATTTTTGGATGGGCATTCAAACATCTCAGAGTTTTAAAATTTCAAAATACTCTTATCTAGTATCAATCATTTCTGTGATTTCATAACATCACGCCATAGCCGAATGCTGAAATTACTTTCTTCTTCAAAGCCATTGCTACTTGAGACTACCTCCTAGTATCACTCAGTTCATTACTCAGCCTGCTTTTAGTTCTTTATTCTTACACAATTCTTACTTCTTGCTACTTCCATTAGCTTTTTTTAGACCATGCCCCAAAGAAATCTTCCATGTCACGGACAAAGGAAGAGACACCACTGTCTATTCAGAAAACAAGTTTCTATTGTCATCATAAAGATGTTATAATGACGAGTCTGTAACAGAAAAGCATCTACATTACCTTCTCACAATCACTCCTCTTTTTGTCTGGAAATCTTGAGGTTCTAAGTAGATATTTTTGAAAGCAACTAGGAAAAGAAACACCCATAAGGCCTTTAGGGGAAGTGGCATAAACCCTCTGCAAACAGTCTGAATGCAGCCATATATTCCTGTGGATTACATCTTTGACACAGAGTCTTGCCCCATGACTGCAAGCCTTTTTGAAGGGACATTTCTTCCCTTTGTGACACTTCCAGCCTCAGTCTAAGAGGATTTCTTTTTCCTCAGGGTGACAAGTATTCACATACAATTCATCTGAGCTTATCTTTGTGTCTGCTAGCAAATGTCTTTTCCCTGACTGTTAAAAAAACAGTTAGATATTAATATTCGTACTCAAGTCTAATCATAATTACAACATAGCTATTGACATCTGAAAAGCTCTGCTTTACAAAATTGTCTTGAACATTCAACTGAACACCCATTCAATAGCTAACTTAGAGAAAATTATTTAATTTCCTAGGTCTCACCCATAGGATGAAAAGCACTGATGAAAACTGATAAGAAATATACCTGTGGAGTTTGACCTCTAGAGAAGCTCCACATGATTTCCCCTCAGAAGTGCTGCAGATTAAGAAAAAAAGTGATAGAGCTAAGGGCTAAGTTTGGAAGTACACAGCAGGAAAGTCCTCCTTGTACCTGTTGATGATCTCAGTCTTGAAATAGAAGAGATGGAAATCAATGTAATCATCTTTCTTTTTGCTCAATCAACTACCACCTTGCCAAGCTGCCTTGACAGAATAGCTTAATTTTTAATAATAATTTAGGGGAGGAAAATCTAAAAGCTCCTGTCCCACTGAGAAATATAGTGTATGTAGATTCTCACAGGAAACCTCATTTTTTTCCCCCCCAGAAAACTATTCTAAATTCTGTACATGATTTTCACACACATTCCTCACTCTTTGAGACTTCATTTATATGACAAGAATCAGACTGAAGATGATCTCTTCCTTCCTCTTCCTCTGCCACAGGTAGTTTCTAGCTACTGTTTCTGTTCAACTGTTTGTGTACCCATGCTCCAGCAGTTCCCAGGCTACATGGAAAATTGCTTACTAAAAAATTAATAATATTTTTATTAATATTATTTTTAATTCCAAAAAGTCTTTAATTTTTTTCCAGTAGAGCACCACAGAGCTACTACATACTGTAGCCAAACAGTCATATAACACAAATGGTGAGAAAAGTAGCTCCTCAATCAGTTCTGCCACTGGAGAGACAAATTATCATACAGCACCATAGCTTGTAGGTTTGTGAGGAGGAATTCCCTTCTTCATTGCAAATTTAAGACTGCAACCTCATTTCTGCTCTCTTATGTAAGTTTGGACAAACTCCAAAGCAACAGATCAGAAATGGAGCTTTTGGACAACAGTTTGCTACATTTGAGTGCCTGGTGTTAATTTCCTGTATTGATAATTAGGTTTGATGGCAGAAGTAAAACTAGGGAGTGCTTAGCTAGTTCAGATTCAGTTTCAGTCTGATATACTGTCCACAAGCGTATCTGAAGCAAGGTCCATTTCTATTCAAAAGTTTAAATCTAGCTTTAAGCAGATTTGAGTCCTTGGAGCTTCAGGTACTTACGTTTTATATTTCATTATTGTTTTCTTTATCATAGATCATATGTAGTTTTTTCAGCTGTAACCAAGAAATATCTCTGCATCATACACTCATTAGCTATCCCAATAAAACCTTCAACTGTCAAAGAGATACAGCATGCATTTTTTAAAACTCGTATCTTGGTGCATCTTTCCATCTTGGTGCCATGAGGTATTCTGAACTCGAAGCTAAGGGATAAGTAAACTAGTCATGTTTTAACTGTGGCATAATAATCTCCCAAGAACCACTAGTTCCTTCAATTATTTCTTCCTACCTGAGACAGTTCCAATCAAGTGCTTTCTTAATTATTATTCCACATACATTTCCAGCACCCCAACATGTTACTTCCAAGATAATTCAGGGGGCCAAAGAGCAAAAAGACTTTGAAAAGTAAGTATCCTCACCATTGTCCCCATTGTTTTTGATTACCCATTCCTAGAGTACGTAAAGGAAAGCCATAGGACTGTAAGCAGAATAGATCTTCCAATAAATCATTCCCTGGACAAGCCATTTCAGTACGCAGTCAGGGAAGGGCAAGATAATTAGCTACTTATTAGTCCAAGATTGGAGCAGGTACTCCCATTGCTTGACATTCACTGCTTCACAAGAAATATTACCAATATATTTTGCACTCTTTGAATATGTGGCCATGTTGTTCCCAGTACATAATTTGTTCTGTCTTTACTTGCCAGATTTCCCATTGCCAGGGTACACAGGAGTCTCTGACCACCTAGTATTTGACACACTACAATAATTTATGTTCTCATGTATACGCAGGCAAAACCAAACAATCAGGCTGAACGATCACCTTTCAAATTCAAGATACTTTGTTCCAAAAATACAAAACATGCATGCAGTGTATTTATTAGATTCTTATATGACCATTGCACAACAGCAGCCTTTGAACGTCATTGTGAATATGAGAAAGTCATTGCTTTGAAGAGGCTAGTGTAAGAGCTTTAAGTAAATTAAGATATTAACAAGGCCTCAGTTTCCAAATTATATTAAATAAAAATGCAGCCTAGTTTACAAAGAGGAATATTATACCGAATTCAAACTTCAAGTTGCACAAGCAGCCATGGTAACCCATACTTCCATAGGTACATAAATATCCAGCTTGATTTCTAGATCTAAACCTGTTGCTGCAGAACTGAGGAGCGTCCTGGAGTTAAGAAGACGGCAACAACTGACCAACTGTTATGTTCAGCTAGGTTCGCTGTTGTCACATTATCACACAGACTCTTTCAATTTCTCCTGCCTTTACATACGCAGTACAACTATTTATAATTTTTTTCAAAATTATACTTTAAGGCTAAAGATTGTTGATAACTCAGTGAACGAAAAGTAACCACTGAAGACATGATGAATTTCATATAAATATACTGACAGTATGCAATGATTCTCATTAACTCCACATTATGAAGCTATGTATATTTGATTGGCTCTTGAAACATTAATTCAGTTTTTTTTTTTTTAAAACAGCTTTGCTTCATACTTGCTTTTTCCTAAGATGGCTATTCTAGCATTCAATATCTACCAGCATTTTGCGGTAAACAACACACACCTTAATATTACTTGTAGGTTTGTTCTTCTCTAGAAGAGACACAAAAGGGTCATCAGAAAAAAAGAGCTACAGCTGAAAACAGAACTAAATCAGCAATCAAAACAACTTATCCCTGTGCTATTTATTATCTTTTTCAAAAGCCAATATTGATGTCAAGACAAGCAGTCCAGATAAAAAAATCTTTCTTAGCAAGTCACTTACCATATTTATTGATGATACAGGACCAATGCTGTTGACATAAATGTCAACATCAATAACTGTTGGTTTTACTGTGGAGAAAAAAAAAAAAATATTATTTTGCAGAAAACATAAGTAATCACTTTAAACATTTTCTTCCCCAATAACCATGAGGTCTACTCTTCAGGTAGAACTACTGAAAAATATGGATTATGTATTTTTTAAGAAGACAAGGTTCTTTTCCTCCTACCCAACAAAAATTGCAAATTACAGCCTGTACCACTTTATCATCATGATCCTCACTTGTCTCAGCAGCAATTTATTAAAGAAACTTTCAGTGCTGAGCACAGTGGTTCAGAGTCAAAACCTAAGATGACTGACATGAAACTAGAAATAATGCAGAATACCACTTTTCTCCATTGCCTCAACAGGCATGTCCTCTAGTATGCGTGTTCCACATAAAAAAAATCTTTCCAGATTTCTCACCTTATCAGTCCTGAAATCATCCTACCTTAGAATAAAATCACTATGAAATTAATTTAGATAAACCTAAGCAATTCTTCCTCTTTCAATATAGACTGATTCCCTGCTGCCCATGTTGCCTTTGCACTTATTTATCCAAAGGTTTTTGAATTTGAGTTGGTTTAGTCAATGCAAGATTCCCATAAGATTTTCCTTGGTTTCAGACTTCCAGGATTTAATAGGCCAACACAAGTTCTGTACTCCTTCCTTCAGCTGAGGCCACTAGGATTTATCTTCCTTTTAACACGCTTGGTATCAGTGTCCCCCCTAAACATTATTCAGACAGCTCTTACTGGTGACGTAGCCTAACTCTGAAATAATGCCATTCTTACACTGAAAGGCATGTTCATTTTTTTAATTATGCTGCCCTCCTTCCAACCACACAGGGTATACATTAACCTCTAAATTGAGATCTGAATTGGTGTTTTACCTTCTCCAGGGTTAGCTAACCCAGAACCAAGTAAGTATAAGTACTGTTCTAACCTGCATAGTCAGAATTGATGCAAACTTGGCCCTAGTAGGCCAACAGCTTCTGTTAGATACCTCCCTTTCCCATAGAGGCATCTTCCCCTCTCCATGGTCTGTGAAAATCTCCAGAAAGCAATTCAAACCACTGAAGTTTGGGAATTCTGCTGAACTTAGGACGTTTTTGCACCAATCCCCAAACCCACTAGAACAGGAAAATGCAGGTACATCAGGCACTCAACACTCAAAGAGCTTTCCTTGGGGAAACTACTGAGCAGAAAGGTGAGGAACAGTCAAATACCACGGTTCTGTGGGAAGCTTATCTCAGGTGTCTAAAGCTCAAGAAGCCATCCAGCACAAAGTTGAAGACAGACTGGAATCTTCACATGTAAAGATGAGTAATTTTTGTCCACATCCCCCAAATTTCAGACTAACGATGAGATGCTGAGAAGTTTTAAAGTACCTGAAAAGTTAGATGGTTCTGAAAAGATAGGCAGGCTGGTTCACCATGTAAGACTTTGGTATGTACATATCATTAGGATGACTACATTTAATTTTGCAAAAACAGACATTTAAGTGGGTACAAATAGAGGTTAAAGATGATGACTGTTCTCAGTATGTACCACATACTTTTCTGACTGCATGTGGTCAGAACATCCAGGATTATTTAAGGCCGTGGTTTCAAACCATCTGAAGTACTGGCTTATAAACTCAGATCTTCCCTTCAGCAAAAGAAAATCTGAACTCAGCTGAACAAGCACAACTGATTAATGCAACTCTAATTGTACCCAGCTAATAACTAAATAGGAGTCTAGCAGCTTCTGGTAATGAGACTTGCCTCAAACTGCAGTAATAAATGTCATTACATAGGAATTGGTAATAGCGGGGAACTACAGCTAGCTCTTACCAAGGCAGAATACATGGAATAAAGAGCTCTGATCTTTTTAGGGTTTATGTACATATCTACTGGAAGTTCAACAGTAAGGAGTTCTGGTCAACATTATTGGGACTAGACTTAGTGATGCAAATTGACATGCAATTGAATCTCGGCAGGATCAGGGACAAAGTTCAGGACCAGAACACAGTGCTTGGAATGTGTTTTTGTTTAATCATTGCAGTTAAGTATATAAATAGATTATGAGATGATAATTTCTCCGAATGTGCTGGGCCAAATTCTCTTCCAGTGCAAAAAAAAAATAATGAAGCACTGCTTGTTAATGTTAAAGAGAACTTGATCTTACTCACAGTAAAGGTCTAATCTTGAAACAGAAAAAAAATAAGCAGCAGCCACTTCTTATGTCAAAATAAATCAGCATCTAACCTCAGACATTCCCAGTGAAATTAAAATTAAAAATAATACTAAAAAAACACAGGTAAGCTATTCTATCACTACAACAACAAAAAAAGACTGAACGCTCCTTTGAATGAAACATTGTTTTCCTGAGCAGAAACTACAATTGTAATATGATTATATGATAAATATGTGTTCAGTTTTTGAAAGAAAACACAGAAGAATACAGATCTTGTTGCACGTGGTCTCTCATGGATATAAACAGATATAAACTGGGAGAACTATCAGGTACAGATTTTAGATTGGTTATCATAGGATTTTAATTCAAAATACTAACCATAATGAGGCAAAGATTTTAAGATTACTTCATCCAAAATCCACTAAGAAAAAGAAAGAGTCTTAAAAGTTATCATGCCTTATTAGAAAGAACTCAGCTTCCACCAGTCTTCAAAATAAACCAAGTTTCATGGAAGACATAAATAGTTACATTAGCAACTATTTCAAGGCCTGCCCAGATTTTCTGTATACTACATATATTTTTGAACACTCAGTTCATGGACTACTTTAAGCTATACATGGGGTTGCTGAGCTGCAGATGAAGACTTTTTCTTGCACTAAGTCCTTAAAGTCTTGTTGATTGAGCAACAAAAGTGTTAATGCTTCACTAAAAGCTGGCAATAAGATTACAAAAGGATACTCAGCTCCAGCACCATTTTGATATCAGCCTCAGTCCAAAACAGTTCTAAAAATATGTTCAAAACTTAGAAAAATTATTGGCAGAATCATATGTATATCACACGCAGGAGAGCACTTAAATGTTGTCTACAAATGCACAGACCTTCTCAAAGTTCTTTGAAACATTCTTTAGTATATGGTAGCTAACTTTCCCTAAGAGACAATGTAAGCACATCCAAGTTACAGCAGTGTTATGCTGCTACACGGTGCTATCTAAGGTTAGCTAACTGCTTATCACAATCATTTCATCTTCAAACACATTGGTTTTAATTGAGAAGGAAATTTATCAAGCAAATCAAAATATATCTGCAAACAAAACTAAGGTCATGCCAATATTTAGCTAACAGTCCCCATCTGATCCAAGTGCCATGGCTTTGAGACAGGCTGTTTATATTCCAGCGAGCCTTGTGACTAGCACATTGCAAAGACACATCCAAGTGAAATTTGTCCACAAACATTAGACAGTTCAAAAGACACCTAGCCACAGGAGTCATGAGTTCAATACTGCCTGCCAAGCTCTCTGAGGAAGCCAGGTGAACACTTAGACAGTTAGTGTAAAGCTAGGTCAGATATGTCTGGGCAGCCACAAAACACAGAAAGATAGAATAATGACCTGATAACAAATACCCATGCAGGCTGCTAATAGGATTTGTGTAGTCCTGCTTTATAGATTTACACTGGTGAAATAAACAGTACCTGAGCTTGAATCCCATTAAAACCATGGAGACTTTACTCATAGACATATGCAAGCTGATCATGTGTGCAAAAAACTCAACAGAAAAATAGGGAGAATCTTAAAATGCTTTTGAGAAAATTAACAAATGAGGGATTGTTATACAATTTCACAGGTCATGTAGAAAAAAAATCTGCAATAAGTTCCTGACATTTTTTAGGACTTCTTTAAATTATCCTGTCCTTTAAAAATACCTCTTAATTTTTGATAGATTTCTGCAATTCAGAATTGATGCTTAGTTCATGAATGAAACCACTTTGTTTGCTTCCTCCACAGAAAACTTCCTCCACATTTGAAGTCTGTCCAAATAGCATTTAAGTTCCTGCACAAATCATAAATATTTAGATTTATTTTTTAAAGTTTAATGTTTAGAAATATCTTTATTGAAAGCTCTTTTAAACATGAGGAGAACTAGCTGAGCTCTCATAAATTTTAAAATAAAATTAAAATCTATTTTTGTTCTCTCTTTTATTTTTTTTCAAGCCCAGGTCTAAACTATTCTGGTTTTACCCAGAACAGTGGTGGTAAAAATGTTATGGATCAATACACACACATATTTATAGAAGCAAAGCAATTAGCACTAGATTTTTAGAAGGCACACAACCACAAAACAAATGCAAGTTCGGTTTCAGAAATATACTGCCTAAGTTCCACAAGAATTCTGAACTCAAAAGGCTAACAAGATCGGCTCTATGGTAATGAGATATTTTTTGAAATTACTCTATAATGATATTTTACATTATCTCATTAGCACATAAATTGCTATTTTTAAATTGGCATAAAGCTGTAATAAATCATTACACAGTTATTGGTAACCGCAGTAGTAGTGATTACAGTGTTAATATTTATTTTGCATTAGTGAAAATGACTATTAATATTTTCCTATATACCTCATAGGTGACATCTGGTTTGCTGTTTCCTCCTGTAAAACAAACGGCTATGCTAACAAATCACTTCTCAGGGATAACTGTAGTCAGCTAAAACTTCTGTATTTTAGGACAAATTACCACATTTGAAGAAAGACGCGGTAACAGAAAATGTTGAGTCTTCATCCCTGGAACCATTTAAAAGATGTGCAGATGCGGCACTTAGGGACATGTTTTAGTGGTGGACTTGGCAGTGTTAGGTTTATAGATGGACTCGATGATCCTGAAGGTCTTTTCCTAACTAAATGACTCTATAATTCTATGAAGGTATCAGTAAGGAAAATACAAAAAGTTTCATTCTTCCTGCATAGAAGAGAAGGGGCTTGAACAACTGATAGAAGTCAAAGCCCTCCACTTGCTACATCCAGGCAAGAGAAATTCTTACAGAACTGTCACCTCTATGTTTTAAGATCAAACTAC